TTACGAAGAGAAAAAATGGGTTATTCAAAAAGGCATATGAGCTGGGTGTTCTATGCAGTGTTGACGTTGCGGTCATAATCTTTGGTGAGTTTTTTTTGTCATTCTGCTGCTCATAATTGACAACTAACAAGCAATCTACGACGTGGTGTATAGACGAAAAACCAGGGCAACACGAAAAGTTATATGAATATGCCTCCTCCGATGTGCGGGATATTGTTAAGAGACATATCAGGGTGTGTGCATCCTATAACTCGTATTTGCGATATTTAAACTGATACGCATTTTTAGTTCTCGGGAGAGAAAGATTGTCGCACTCCACACGACTTTTCAGGTGGTTCAGCGACCAAGCTGGATGATATCGGTGAAGGCGATGGCGATGATGATGATGAGGAGGAGGAACCTTCAAGCTCCAAAAGCAAAGAAACTCATGCTAAAGCTTCTACTTCCCGAGACGTCCAGATACCTGCGCCTTCTCCACCTCTACATTTTCACGGTCGTCCGGGATCACCCGGCGCAGACAAAGACACTTCTACTAAAGACCAAATAAGCAAAGGCAGGTCCTCTCATCATCCAAACTCACGCAAACGATCCCATTCGCATCTCGCCGGTCGTGAATCCCGAAGTCGAAGTCATTCGCCTTCGTTTTCTGGTCATGTTCAGCCGTCGTTATTACAGCAGCAGCGGGCAGCTCATGCACTATCAGGAGGATACACATCTATATCGAACCCACACACTAATTCTAATCCCAATTTCGATTTGTTTGGTATAGCCTCTATGGGTGCCCGAGCTGGTGCATCTTCTTCATCTCCATCTTCTCCTCCATCGCATATGGACTTCAGTCCTCGAAACTCTCTTGCTTTCAATGCTCTAGGCGGTCTTAGCAACATGCGAGATATTCGGGACCTGGGGTTTAACGGTCATAGTTTACGCGACTTACATGGTATCAGCGACCTCCGCGAGTTACGTGGACTTGGTATGAGTAACCTCAACTATGATAATATCCGAGACTCGCGTACTCTCAATGGTGTTAACGACTTCAATGGATTCAACGCATTCGGAGGCGGAGGAGGTTCTATCGACCTCACCACCCTACGTGGTATGAACCGCGTGGATGCCATCAACACTCTCCGCAGTCTCGGAATCGACCTGGGTGTCGACGGCAGTCGTGACATGCGCGACCCGCGCGATCCCCGAAACTTCGACCCCCGATCTCCCGACCTCGACAACCCCAACATAAACCCCAACATGAACCCCAGCTTAAACAACCCCGGTATGAACTCGGCTATGAGCACACGGATGATGTACCAGCAGATGATGCTCCATCAACAGCACCACCAGCAGCTTATCCAGAGACGAGAGCGGCTGGCTGCGTTGCAGGCTGCGCATGCTCACGGCGAGCCTCTTCCGTCTCACATCCACCATCCTTCCCACCCAACGCATCCACACAACTTGATTCCACGACACTCTCGTTCTTCGCTTCCACGGGATCCAAGAGACCTCCCAATCTCCAGCGATGCGTTCAGTTCAAGAGACCACGACCGCCATGACCTGAGGAGACGAAGCTCGTCTAGTACAGCTGTCGGTCTTGCGGGTCGTTCATCAATAACAGAAGGATCGGAAAAGGACAAAGACAAAAAAGAAAAGGCGAAGGATGATAAGGATAAAGACAAGGACAAAAGTAAAGACAGCGATATAGGCGACCTCGTAGCGTTTTTAGACGCTGTAGAGAATCCCCCTTCTGGGTCGCGCGCGCAAGATTCACCCGGTGTGCTTCGTCGATCCGGTTCTCAGTCTGGTGGTTCGACTCTGGAATGGCCTACGACGAGTGCACGAGAAGGTAGTGGTAAGTAGACTCGACTCTTCCTTCTTTTTTTTTTTTTTTTTGTTGTAACTTATTGACCTCCGACACATTGTTTTTATCAAATCTGTTCCTCTCTTTCCTCGCGTCTTAACTGACCATCCCCCCGAAGGTCCCTCTCCATCTCTGAACCCAGGTCCAGCTCCTCATCCAGATCCCCCGTCGTCTTCTTCGTCCGGCTTTGTCTCCGAACTGAACCTCCCTTCCGGCCTATCGACTTCCGACACCACATGGCTAGATTTTCTCTCCAGTGCTCCAGCGCCCGGTAACGCTCTCAGTAGTCTCACCGCTCCCTCCACTTCGGATCCCTCATCATCCTGGAGTCGACGACCCACCAGCGGGTTCGGGTCGGGCATCGCACATCATCATTCACCTCTCGGTATGAATTTCAACTTCCCGGGCCTAGATCCCTTCGGTGTCAGTACCACCGCGGCGTTCGATAGACAGATGCTCGCGGATGTTTTTAGTGGCCTTAACGGATCCGGGAACACTGCGGAATCCGGTTCAGTGAGTCTTTCGCGGTCTGCTTCCGGTGCTGGTGCTGGTCCCGCCGAAAGTAATCGTACGGTGGACACGCCGTTCGGAGGCGTCGGCTCCTTGGCTGGGATGCAGACTGTCCCCACTCTTCCTAACGTACCCAATATGTCGTCAATCTCGATCCCCATGGATCTGAGTAGTCTAGATATGGATATGGACGACATGGGGTTCGGTAGGGAACCTGCTGTTGGCAGGGGAATGGGAATGGGTATAGGTATGGGGGGTAGAAATATCGACAAGGATGAGTTCCACGACGCAAAAACGACAGACCCATCGCCTGTTGTGAAAAAACGACGATTGGAAAAGGAAAAGGAGAAAGGGAAGGAGAGAGAGAAAGTGGTTGTAGTGATACCGGACTCCCCTGCGTCATTGACTGATGGACAGGGTGGGAACGGCGATGGAGGAGGAGAAGGTACTAATGAAGAAAAAAGTGGAAGGAGTCAGAGGGTGAAGAGATTGAAGAAATCGAAGGCGGTAAAGTCGAAAATCGGCGCTGAGCAGGATCGGTCGTCGGGAACAGGGGTTGTGTTTGAAGGAGAGGAACGCGGGAAGGATAGAGACTTGAAGGAGCGTTCGGGATCCAGAATAAAATTATCAAAGCCCGAAGTAGAACGACGTGAGAAGGACAGTGGGTTGGTGCAAGAAGGAAAGAGCTAAGCCCAGATGTCTCGTTTGCAGTTTTACTTTGATTATTATTTTCTGTCAAGGACTCACATACTGTAATTTATGTTTTATTCGGTTCTGTTGGATATTTCTTTTGTTCGGACGGTGTTTGCTTGAAACTTTTCATTATTCTGTACTATTATGTATGTATTAATCCTGCTCCTCTGACTATCTATCACTGCTTCGCCCTCTTCCGATTCCTGCTCATCATGATCACTCGTTGTGATTTCATCTCACGTGAGCGTCGCTTCACCGATACCTCGAGGCATTCGACATGTAAAACTGCACGCACTTGCTTTGTACCCAAACCTTGAAAATGGAAATGGAAATCTTGTTTACGATGATATTCGGACTGTGCCTGCGATTTGTACTCGGCAGCTCACCTGTGATGGTCCAAGGGAAGCTGTATCCAGCGATATTGGGAGTGTGGGAGGGAGCGTGTTTGAGGTATTTGATTAATGGTACACCGCCGAGTTCATCTTCGTCGTTGGATCCAATGCTATCGTACGCTGTGCGTCTGTGTATTGATTATTTTATCACGGATAGTTTTGGGCAGGTGATTGGGATGATGGTGTGGAGTTTATTGGGGGTGTTGGTGATAGAAAGCGTGGAGGTGGAGAGTATCGATGAACGAAGGTGGAAGAGGTCGAAAGGGAGTGAGTCATCGTTTGCCAGGATACGGGAACAGGTGGTGGATCAACCGACTACGGAAGAGGACACTCTCCCTCTCCCGGTTTCTCCCGCTCAAAACGTTCAGGAATCAGAATCATCACCGCTATCCCTCCCGGTTTCTCCCGCTCAGAACGTTCAGGAATCATCACCGCTCCCGCTATCCCTCCCGATGTCCTCCTTCAGAGAAGAAGAATATGAAGTGGAAGAAGACGTAGACGACGATCTACAAACACCCCTTCCACAATCACGTGTCCTCCTTCCCGAGGACGACGAATTACAAACCCCTCTCGCCCTATTACCTATATCTTCTCTCCCAGAATTACCTATTCCGGCGGATCAATCTATCCTCCTGCGTCCAATCCGAAGCACCAGCATTTCTCCCGTCCCGGTACCCGCTCCAGCTCTTCCTTACATCACCTCCTCCTCCCCCTCCTCCCACCTCTCAACCCTCCACCCCCTCTCCCCCTCTTCCTCCTCCCAACAATCCAGTATCCTCCTCTCCCCAAACTCCCTCTACACCCACGCCGACGCGCTCCGCAAACAAGCCTGGAAAGAACACCACTACCTCAAAACCCAACTCGAAAACGACCTCGCGCTAGCTCGATCCCACGGAAACACAACAGAGGCGTTTATCTTACTCGGAGAGATCAAGGACACCTTACTCAAGATCGACAAGTTGCATGGGAGAGCGAAGAAGAAGTTTTATTTGGCGCGTAATAATAATAATGCTGGTGTTCCCACTACTACCACGACTAGCAATCCCTCGTCCATCGACGTCCATGGTCTCCTCGTACCCGAAGCCATCGACAAAACCGAAGACGCGTTCCGCGGAGTCCTGCGTACAGGCAATCGGTTCCTCAGAGTCATCGTCGGGAAGGGGAATCATTCAAAGAACGGCATGCCGAAATTGAGACCGGCCATTATCCAGGCGTTTACTCAGTTGCGTGGCTCTTGTTTGTGGCTCTCTCGGTGACTGATTGGATTTCATACATAGGCATGGGTTTAAATGTACAGTCGATGTAAACAATTCAGGGATCCTCATCCTCGAAGCTCCGAGTCCCCCACTGGTTCCGCCCCCTCCTTAGTCAATTCCGATGTAAATTTCATGTGTGGTTTGTTTGTATGTCATGTACAGTATTGTTTGTTGTATTATATACCTGTGTCTTTGTCTTGAGCAAAAAAGATATTCACAGTCCAAAGCCCAAAGCCCTGCATTTATCCATTCAGACGAAAAGAAAGAAAAAGATTGAAAAGAAAAAGAAAATCCAAATGATTCGACCCGGGCTCGAACCGGGGACCTTCTGTGAAACATTTTCGCCACTCGATCATTGTGAGTCTATGTTAGACAGATGCGATAAACCAACTACGCCATCGAACCGTGTACAATGAATTGACCATGGAGAATATCATCTTAACAAGCAATTACCAAAAAAATCAGTCCAGTGAAGAATTTTTGGAGGTGATTAAATCATAATTGCAAATATGTTTTGTTTGGGCTTTAGCAGCTTTAGCCCCGCGCCCCCGCCCAAATGATGTTAGGATATAACTCAGTTGTCTTTGAAGCAACTGTATTAATGTGCGTAAGTACCTGTTAGGATATAACTACGGTTGGTTAGTATGACATTGTATGCTAGTATACTCGGGGCTCACCTCAGTTGTCTTTGAAGCAACTGAGGGAATTGAAATCGCCATTGGTGTGGTATATCTACTACTGTACAGTATAAGATAATAACACCATTTATGTAACTGTCCACTTGGCCTACATACGGAGTACTTCCCTAACACCCCCCCCTACTCCGTATGATCCAGTCCGAGTAATAAACCATTTTGGAATGAAGTGTCCCACTCAGCACTTTGGTGAAGATGTCCGCAACATTCTCGCCGGATCTGATTTGTTGAATGTCCACCTCTCCGCTAGTAACCTTTTCCCTCACATAGTGGTGTTGTCAAGTCCATGCCTTGGCGCCCCACTCCGCCACTTGGTATCCCGAGATATACTCTTATTGTAATCTCTTCTTTGTTGTTCTTTCCTGCTACACATTGTCATATGCATGCAATTCACCCTAATACGCTTCCCGGCCCGGCCCGGAGCGGCCGGACTTCGGACTAATCACCTTGTGACTTATTTATTATTCCGAGCTTTCATCGAGGTCTTATGACTGTATTTAGGAGGTATATAAGCTAGGATACTTTGTACGTTGTAGTCAAGCTTGAAATCAAGTGTACCACCTTATCCACTCTTTAATATCTCCTTTACCTTTGCTTCTGAGCTATTCCGGACTTCTGGATCACAGGAACCCCATCTAGGCTGCTCATCTTGACATTATATCCTTGCCATTATATTCCCGGGGACACAACAGTGTGTGAAGGGTGTTGCTAATAGCTTCACCGACATCCCACTCCCAGTGTGTACTACAGGCCAATACTCAGCTCCGGACCTCGGAGTTATCCCGGGCCATTTCCGGCCCTTATCCGACCTTAGAACCTCTATAGTGATTGACCTGTAGGCACGGTCTTGTCACACATACCCATTCATTCTAGTCTCTCCTTATTGTCTTTTTCTCTCCCCTGCAGGTACTACACGTATTGGATCCGGATCTCGATTCTCTGCCCACCTGGACCTTTTCATTCAAAGCTCTCGTAAAAGAGCTACAGGACAGTTTTGGTGTTTACGACGCCCAAGGTGAGGCCGAAGATTCTCTCGGTAACCTGAAGATGAAGGAAACTGAAAACATCTGGTTCAACACTCTAGCTGCCAGCACCAACTGGGATTCGGCTGCCCTGAAATGGGCTTACAGACAAGGTTTGGCAGAACGCATCAAGGACGAAATGGTGCATCTGCCTGAACCGGCGATGCTCGCCGACTATTGTCAAGAGGTTCTTTGAATTGACAACTGTTATTGGAAGTGCGAAGAAACTAAGAAGCATGAGGCTGGTAAGCCTTTCATTGCTCTGAACCCAAAGAAGGGTTCCTCAGACTTGTTACAATCACTTCTTTTCATCTTATCTTTTCCTTATCTTGTCTTATCTTGTCTTACATTGTCACCTGACCTATTATTCATGCTTACTGATACAACATGCACTTTTCATTTTACTTATATTAAACACAGCAGTCTCACAACATGTATACAGCATGTCGATCAAGTCTTTGTTACTTACACATTGCTTTACTTAGGTTCTATCTGTTTCACACATGTTTTACTCATGCTTGCCACTGACCCAGAGTGTCGGACATTACTAGGGCAGAGGGTTACTTATATATAAACTGTAGTTACTTGCTGTATTTCCTTAGCTTTGATCTCGTCTATTCTACCTGGTTTAGCCAGAATCTTTGCTTGTCTCTTCTATTGCTCCACTCTCTAAAGCTTTCTCTGAAGTGTGATGCCTAGTGACATCTGTTACTAGAACCAGTCGCTGACACCTGTGGCATGGTTACATGGTGTACATGATCTTAACAGCTGATCACTCCTTATGACCTGCTGTTAAGATCATGTACACCATGTAACCGTGCCAGAGGTCACAGAGTGTCTAAGTGCGGAAGACGAATGGGACAGTAGTGAAGTCATTAACAACACCGCCATTACGCCGTTAGTCCCCGGAGATCAAGAGTATAAGAGGGAGGAGCTAAGTAGCAGCCAAGTCGGAGCAGCGGTATCGCCGGTGACGAGGAGCGGGCTAAAGAACTTATAAGTCCAAAGGCTGTAGAGAGAGTACTTCAAGGCAATGAGCCTGAAGACTTAGAGGAGCCAAGAGTAAAGGAGGGAATCTAAGTCGATAATTAAACTGAGGAACTACAGTAGCGTACATTGATAGCAGTGAACTCGCATATTGTGTATTAGATTGGTTGGTTGGAGTGCCCATTAGATTCCTTCCTTTCTCTTTCACACAAAAACGAGGCAAGCTCGTTAACGGCGGAGCACGGCGGAATCGGGGAAAGGAATAAAATGTTTTTTGTGATCAAGGTCCAGATGAGTAGATCGAATATGCTTAGCCAGAACAAATACTTCGGAGCTGATCGGGAACTCTGGATGTGAGATTCTTTTCCTATCAGCTTGTTCCTTGTAACGAGATTGAGCTAGAAGGATTTCCTCTCGAAGGAAGGCATGGAGTTCATCGAGGTTGACGACAAAGTCTCTAGCCAAATTAGACTTCATGTCGACCTTGGGTCGAACGGTGATATTTGGGTGGTATCCTTTGTTGGCGAAGACAGGTGTAATACCAGTGGAGGCATTTGGCGTGTTGTTATAGGCGAATTCGGTGATCAGAAGTAAAGGTAACCAGTCATCTTGTTGGTAGGAGCAATAGATCCTGATGTACTGCTCGAGAGTCTGATTGACACGCTCGGTCTGCCCGTTGGCTTCCGGATGGTATCCAGAGGTATAGTGCAGTTCCATGGAGAGCGCTTTACTGAGAGCCCGGAAGAACGCCGAAACAAATTCGGAACCACAATCGGAAGTAACATAATTAGGAACACCATGCTTAAAGAAGACATGAATAATGAAAAGCTCAGCTAATTGTTCGGAAGTAATGGTATCAAAAGTTGGAATGAAAATCGCTTGCTTGGAGGATCGGTCCACGACAACTAGAATAGCTGTGTAGCCATTCGACATTGGCAGTTGCTCAATGAAATCCATGGAGATAGAATCCCATGGTCAGACCGGAACTGGCAGAGGTTTCAACAACCCGTAAGGCCGATGATATGACACATTTTTATTTGAGTCTATAATGCAGTAATTATGCATTTTCAACTGTAAAGTACTATCAGTGATGCTGAGACTGGACAGTACATTGTATTCAGAGAAGACACACAGAACTACACAGTGATTGCATCTGAATGACACTTAAGTGGGTCTTCATAGCATAATACAGTTGTATTTCCAAGTAATAAAGCTCTAATACTAAAACCCATACTTGTGTTTGACTTGGACTAGGACAACATCTGCAGAATTAAAGTGTTCCGAGCTTCATCTTTGTATGGCATTGCCATAAAGCTGAAAGATTAGATTAAAAGATAAACTCCGGACCTCTGGAGTTAATTCCGAGAATATCAGAATTGATTTAGCATATGTCCCTCATCCGGAAAGCCTTCCGAGGTACAGCATGATTCCCATCAAAGGTAGCACATGGTACAACAGGTCCACATGCTACTCCGAGATGCAGCATGATTTCCATCAAAATTAGCACATGCTACAAGAAATCCACATGCTACAATGATTGATATCAGTTGTTAAGGGTTGTTTTGAGGATATATAAGGAGGGTGCTGGCCTCCAGATGAGAACAAGCACTTTCCCTCCCCACTTCTGAGAGGATTTGGTTGGTTGGTTAGTAGCTTCTGGCTATAGTGACAAGTGCACTCTAAACAAAGATGATATAGTGTTAACTTTCACTGTAAACAAGTTAGAGTTTAAGAAAGACAGAAAGAAAGAAAGTTCAAAGTCACAGATTACTATTATGCTTCAGAGTTAATAGCAGTCAGAGTGTTGTGAGTAGTGCACACTCTTTCTGTGGATTGTACTTGTAGTGTATAATACAAATCAGAGGTTTTGTTCAGTTCAGATAAAGTCAAAGAAAGATTTAGCATGCCCGAGTTTGATAGAATCTCGAGAAGAAAAACTATTCAACCTTAACATTATACCCACATGATGTAGATATTTGTAGAGTTGCAGTGTGATCTTGCTTTTTCAATGATAAACCCCCTTGAACTTAGTGTTTGATGATGGTTTGTGTTGGTGTTGGTGTGAGTGTTAGAGCTTGCATTAGCATTTTATGCATAGCCCAGAGTCAGCATATCACCGATGACGGCGAGGTTTGTTGTGACCACAAATAGTGCAAGAAGTAACATAATCACATACGAAGTCTCTGACCTTGGGCCAGGTGTATTGATGACATACAGCTTCTAGAGTGCAGTTCTGGCTGAAATGGCTGGAGAGTGGATGATTGTGAAAGTAGCGTAGAACTTGAAGGCAAAGATCGCCATGATTCGGAACATAAATATGGTCATCAAGGCATAATAACCCATCACTACCTAAGCCCCAACGTTCATTGAAAGGATCTTTTGCAAGTTCCAAGCCAACAACGGAGCTCGGGTCCTTCGGAAGAGTGAGAATGATAGCTTGATGCAGAGCTTTGATATCCACAACGATAGAGGCTCGGAGCATCGGGCCTTCTAAGAAGGTAGCTCGAAGAGAAGTAGTGAGTTGCTCATTAGTGAAGATAGGTCGGAAGTTGTGAGGGTTGACTTGCGCGTAGCCAATATCCCCCTCTTTGGGATAGACGTCCCAGCGTCTAGTTATCGGATCTGGTTTTTTGCCAAGCTTCCCCAGTCGGAAGTGAATCACCATGTTGAATTGGTGGAGATACTCTGACCAACGGACCTG